GGACTACTAGATAAAAAGTTACAGCCCTTTGAACTTTATATATATATTGTCGAAATTTGTATTTAGTCCATAACTTTTGATTGAGAGGTCTGATCGAAAAAATACGCATCGTTTTGGATTCTACGCACCAAAATTAGTGAGAAAAAGTGTTTTCCTGAGAAATTTTGAAGCAGTCGATTTTTGGTAAAAAAGGAAGGTAATAACTGCCTTTTTTTTTGAGGCCGGAAAAAAATTGTCTGAGACCGACCGGGAAAAAACATTTTCTTATAGAGTTTGGCCCGTAGAATCCATAATTTCAAACAGTTCCAAGATTGGACTACTAGATAAAAAGTTACAGCCCTTTGAACTTTATATATATATATATATATATATATATATATATATATATATATATATATATATATATATATATATATAACTGTAGTAACTTTTGATTTAGTGGCCCAAGTCGGTTCATATTCCAGTGGAACTCGGGCGGGACTTTACGGAAGCGCAGGTATACGACGGGACGAACTAAATCACTCCTAGGGAGGCTCAGGTTTACGCCGGGGTATTTGCCACTGTTTCTCCCTGTCCCCGGGCGGGCGGTAAACGGCGGGAGTAGATGTAACTCTCTTAGTAAACTCGTTAAACGCGGGTAAACGGCGGGAGTAGATGTAACTCTCTTAGTAAACTCGTTAAACGCGGGTAAACGGCGGGAGTAGATGTAACTCTCTTAGTAAACTCGTTAAACGCGGGTAAACGGCGGGAGTAGATGTAACTCTCTTAGTAAACTCGTTAAACGCGGGGTAAACGGCGGGAGTAGATGTAACTCTCTTAGTAAACTCGTTAAACGCGGGTAAACGGCGGGAGTAGATGTAACTCTCTTAGTAAACTCGTTAAACGCGGGTAAACGGCGGGAGTAGATGTAACTCTCTTAGTAATCTCGTTAAACGCGGGTAAACGGCGGGAGTAGATGTAACTCTCTTAGTAAACTCGTTAAACGCGGGTAAACGGCGGGAGTAGATGTAACTCTCTTAGTAAACTCGTTAAACGCGGGTAAACGGCGGGAGTAGATGTAACTCTCTTACTAAACTCGTTAAACGCGGGTAAACGGCGGGAGTAGATGTAACTCTCTTAGTAGACTCGTTAAACGCGGGTAAACGGCGGGAGTAGATGTAACTCTCCTAATAAACTCGTTTAACGCGGGTAAACGGCGGGAGTAGATGTAACTCTCTTAGTAAACTCGTTAAACGCGGGTAAACGGCGGGGGTAGGTGTAACTCTTGTGAAATGGTAGGTATATGCCTCGACTAAGTACAACTCTAATTCTATTTAACCTACTACCTACCTAAAGGGTAGGTGGGCTGGGTTCACGCCCGCACCATTTGACCGTCCCTACCGTCGCAACCGGTGGGTTATTTATTACCCTCCCCTCCGCCACGACGCGCTTCCGAAGGGACGCCGAGCCAGCGGCTGTTAATGATTTGACATTTCAGGGAACTCGGCGGGTCTCGAATGCGGCGCGCTCGGACGGCCTCAATTCAGCGGTGCTCGCGATAACCCGCCGAGTTCCCCTGAAATGCAGAAGACGGCGAAACTTCGAGATCCGCTGCCGTCGCTTCTACGGTCGCAACCGTGGTCATTTTCTACCCTCCACGACACTCGGCGACGCCGCGCACCCGAAGGGACGCCGAGCTAGCGGCCGTTGACGGTTTGACATTTTAGGGGAACTCGGCGGGTCCCGAATGCGGCGCGCTCGGACGGCCTCAATTCAGCGGTGCTCGCGATAACCCGCCGAGTTCCCCTGAAATGCAGAAGACGGCGAAACTTCGAGATCCGCTGCCGTCGCTTCTACGGTCGCAACCGTGGTCATTTTCTACCCTCCACGACACTCGGCGACGCCGCGCACCCGAAGGGACGCCGAGCTAGCGGCCGTTGACGGTTTGACATTTTAGGGGAACTCGGCGGGTCCCGAATGCGGCGCGCTCGGACGGCCTCAATTCAGCGGTGCTCGCGATAACCCGCCGAGTTCCCCTGAAATGCAGAAGACGGCGAAACTTCGAGATCCGCTGCCGTCGCTTCTACGGTCGCAACCGTGGTCATTTTCTACCCTCCACGACACTCGGCGACGCCGCGCACCCGAAGGGACGCCGAGCTAGCGGCCGTTGACGGTTTGACATTTTAGGGGAACTCGGCGGGTCCCGAATGCGGCGCGCTCGGACGGCCTCAATTCAGCGGTGCTCGCGATAACCCGCCGAGTTCCCCTGAAATGCAGAAGACGGCGAAACTTCGAGATCCGCTGCCGTCGCTTCTACGGTCGCAACCGTGGTCATTTTCTACCCTCCACGACACTCGGCGACGCCGCGCACCCGAAGGGACGCCGAGCTAGCGGCCGTTGACGGTTTGACATTTCAGGGGAACTCGGCGGGTCCCGAATGCGGCGCGCTCGGACGGCCTCAATTCAGCGGTGCTCGCGAAAGGGCGAGTCTCCCTTAAACGCAATAGACCGCAAACCATTGGCGACTGTTACCCTCCTTGATACCGACACAATCCTTGATAATTTATTACGTTCCATGCCATGGCGGGCCGCTGTACGGAGTACTTTAATCCGACACTTTGTTCCTTAAATAGTGTTTAAATAAGGAAAATCGCGTTCAAAAAATCCAATTTTTCCCAACGCGGCCGCGTACCGTAAATAGAACCGCCAAAGTACGAAACTCCGATGCCCTCTCCGCTTCCACTAATACCGCCGCGCGATAGATGCACGAATCTCCCAGCGCGGCCGCGTTACGCTCCGACTCCTTTTTAAATCACGCCGAAGTACGAAACTCCGATGCCCTCTCCGCTTCCACTAATACCGCCGCGCGATAGATGCACGAATCTCCCAGCGCGGCCGCGTTACGCTCCGACTCCTTTTTAAATCACGCCGAAGTACGAAACTCCGATGCCCTCTCCGCTTCCACTAATACCGCCGCGCGATAGATGCACGAATCTCCCAGCGCGGCCGCGTTACGCTCCGACTCCTTTTTAAATCACGCCGAAGTACGAAACTCCGATGCCCTCTCCGCTTCCACTAATACCGCCGCGCGATAGATGCACGAATCTCCCAGCGCGGCCGCGTTACGCTCCGACTCCTTTTTAAATCACGCCGAAGTACGAAACTCCGATGCCCTTTCCGCTTCCACTAATACCGCCGCGCGATAGATGCACGAATCTCCCAGCGCGGCCGCGTTACGCTCCGACTCCTTTTTAAATCACGCCGAAGTACGAAACTCCGATGCCCTCTCCGCTTCCACTAATACCGCCGCGCGATAGATGCACGAATCTCCCAGCGCGGCCGCGTTACGCTCCGACTCCTTTTTAAATCACGCCGAAGTACGAAACTCCGATGCCCTTTCCGCTTCCACTAATACCGCCGCGCGATAGATGCACGAATCTCCCAGCGCGGCCGCGTTACGCTCCGACTCCTTTTTAAATCACGCCGAAGTACGAAACTCCGATGCCCTCTCCGCTTCCACTAATACCGCCGCGCGATAGATGCACGAATCTCCCAGCGCGGCCGCGTTACGCTCCGACTCCTTTTTAAATCACGCCGAAGTACGAAACTCCGATGCCCTCTCCGCTTCCTCTAATACCGCCGCCCGGCCCGCGTCCAGTTCTCCAAGCGCGGCCGCGGCTCAGGTTCCGATAGAGAATGCGTGTCGAAGTGTAAGTCTCCGCTGTCTAATCTGTGTAATCGGCGTGATTTATAGGTATCGTTTTCATTGCAGCGGCCGCGCTGCTATTCGAGGCGCGCGCTCGGTTTTCAACGTACGGAGAACGGACGGATACGCGTAACCACCCGCCGAGTTCCCCTGAATGTCGATCAACTATATTATGGTACTGGGTCTGTTCGTCGAGAGACGGCAGATACGTACTTCGAGCTTCTCGCGAAGTGTTTCAAACCAATTTGAACAATTCGCACCGCGGCTCGACGTCTTTTAAAAGACGATCCAGCTTTGCAGAAAGTTCTCCGCTTTGCGCCAGCAGCGATGTTTATCGTTTCTACTTTCGCCGTAGACTACGAAATATTGTTGGCGTTTCAGCGGCAGGACCGGAGCGAAGTACGGAGATCTTGCGAGTCCTTCGTTTTGCGCGCGACTCCTCGTTCATACCTTTGCTTTTGGACGGACGAGCCCGCGTCTTCACGGACGGATCTAGCGAGGTAAAAGGAGTGTCCGCACTCCGCTCCGAAATTGCGCTACCGCATGGGCGCACGTGTCCTTCGCTGACGATACGTGTGTCGGGGCGCGACCGTTCCGGGAGTCGTTCACAACGGCTCTCTCGGTCGGTCGCCCGGCGACCCCGCGTACCCAAGCCGTCTCTTATGCATGACCGTGGTCTGCGCGCCGTCCTGCGGCGCGCCGTACCGAATGCGGTCGACCAGATCGGCGAGTCGTCTTACGAGACGTACCGCACAAACGCACAATGCAAATGCTCGCCTCGTTCCGAGCGAGGATAGGCCGCATTCCCGCTGCGCCGCGGAATTTTACGGCAAATAGTATCTCGAACTGGAAAGTTTAGACTGTAGGCCCGGCGACCGAGCGATGCGAGGTCCCGGCGTCCTAAAGACGGCAGTATTAGGATGCACAAACGAAATCGTAACCCCGCATAGGCGCGAGTGCGAATTGCGCCGGAGTTTTAGATTTCTCCTCCTTCTCGGAGTTTAGGGTCGACGACCCGCGCGCGCCGCGTCTTTTGCTTTCACGCGCGCGTTCGGCGTCGTCCCGCACACACAACAAACCACCGACTCTCGTTTGAGCGCGGCGAGCTTCGCTCTTAGGAGCGTGCGGACCGCACACACGAGACGAAGCGGTCTTCGGAGAGTCCGCGTCTCGTCCCCCTCGCCCTCGATCCGTACGGCGGCTGCGCTGCCGCCGAATAGAGACCGGGCGTGCGGCGGCGGGATCGACGACGACGGCTCCCCGTACCGCGACCGACTCGCACCGGTCCTCGCGACCGGGCGCGGCGTCGAGCAGATCCCTGGTTGATCCTGCCAGTAGTCATATGCTTGTCTCAAAGATTAAGCCATGCATGTCTCAGTACATACCAAAATAAGGTGAAACCGCGAAAGGCTCATTATATCAGTTATGGTTCATTAGATCGTACCAACATTTACTTGGATAACTGTGGTAATTCTAGAGCTAATACATGCATACAGAACTCCGACCGGAGACGGAAGGAGCGCTTTTATTAGATCAAAACCAACACGGGCGGCGGGGGCCGGCGGCGCCTCGCGCGTTGTCGCGTTCTCGCCGTCTAAACATAGCTCGCACGACGAATCTGAATAACTTTATGCCGATCGCACGGTCACGCACCGGCGACGCATCTTTCAAATGTCTGCCTTATCAACTTTCGATGGTAGGTTATGCGCCTACCATGGTTGTAACGGGTAACGGGGAATCAGGGTTCGATTCCGGAGAGGGAGCCTGAGAAACGGCTACCACATCCAAGGAAGGCAGCAGGCGCGCAAATTACCCACTCCCGGCACGGGGAGGTAGTGACGAAAAATAACGATACGGGACTCATCCGAGGCCCCGTGATCGGAATGAGCACACTTTAAATCCTTTAACGAGGATCAATTGGAGGGCAAGTCTGGTGCCAGCAGCCGCGGTAATTCCAGCTCCAATAGCGTATATTAAAGTTGCTGCGGTTAAAAAGCTCGTAGTCGAAATTGTGTCCTCGGCCGCCGGTTCGTCGCTCGCGACGCCAACTGGCGCGCACCGCTGGACGTCCAGCCGGTACAACGAACTCGCCTACGGGGTGCTCTTAACCGAGTGTCCAGGCGGGGGCCGGCAACGTTACTTTGAACAAATTAAAGTGCTTAAAGCAGGCTAAATTGCGCTCGCATACACGCGCATGGAATAATCGAATAGGACCTCCGTTCTATTTTGTTGGGTTTTTGTGGAACGACAGACGGAGGTAATGATCAATGGGTGCGGATGGGGGCATTCGTATTGCGACGTTAGAGGTGAAATTCTTGGATCGTCGCAAGACGGACTTAAGCGAAAGCATTTGCCAAAAACGCTTTCATCGATCAAGAACGAAAGTTAGAGGTTCGAAGGCGATCAGATACCGCCCTAGTTCTAACCATAAACTATGCCAGCTAGCGATCCGCCGAAGTTACTTCTATGACTCGGCGGGCAGCTTCCGGGAAACCAAAGCTTTCGGGTTCCGGGGGAAGTATGGTTGCAAAGCTGAAACTTAAAGGAATTGACGGAAGGGCACCACCAGGAGTGGAGCCTGCGGCTTAATTTGACTCAACACGGGAAACCTCACCAGGCCCGGACACCGGAAGGATTGACAGATTGAGAGCTCTTTCTTGATTCGGTGGGTGGTGGTGCATGGCCGTTCTTAGTTGGTGGAGCGATTTGTCTGGTTAATTCCGATAACGAACGAGACTCTGTCCTGCTTAATAGCCGAAAGAACGCACGGAGGCGCACGCCCGGCGGCGCGCTTCGCGCGTAGTCGTCGCGGTCGTGTCGTCGTCGTTCGTTCAAACACAGGCATCTCGAAGGCCGGCGTTCCTCGCGTGCCTCCCGCGCGATCAAACGTCTCCCGGCGCGTCGTACCTCGGTGCGGCGCGTACGTCGCCGTCCGGTCGCCCAGCGGCCGCGTCGGAGCGACGGGGGACGCGCGCGTGCGACGGTTGCACGAGCGCACGGTTCTTACACTGTCTGCGGACAAACATATCTTCTTAGAGGGACAAGCGGCTCGAAGCCGCGCTATAGAGAGCAATAACAGGTCTGTGATGCCCTTAGATGTCCTGGGCCGCACGCGCGCTACACTGAAGGAATCAGCGTGTGCGCAGATAGCCCTCGGCCGAGAGGCCCGGGTAATCCGCTGAAACTCCTTCGTGCTAGGGATTGGGGCTTGAAATTCTTCCCCATGAACGAGGAATTCCCAGTAAGCGCGAGTCATAAGCTCGCGTTGATTACGTCCCTGCCCTTTGTACACACCGCCCGTCGCTACTACCGATCGAACGATTTAGCGAGGTCTTCGGACCGACGCCCGTCGGCCTACCGTCGACGGACGCGTGGGAAAGTCGACCGAACTTGATCGTTTAGAGGAAGTAAAAGTCGTAACAAGGTTTCCGTAGGTGAACCTGCGGAAGGATCATTAAAGTTCTTTCGTACGGAAGCGTAGACGCCCGACGTCGTCGCTTATCCGCGAAGAGCGAAAAACACTGACCGAACCGACGACGGAGACGCGCTCGCCCGCTCGCCCCCGATGATCGCCTTCCGGCTTATCCGCCGCCGCGTTTCGCTGCGCGGTGTCGATATCGGAACGGCGTCTCGGCGCGCGCGCGGTGGGCTCGTTCTTCGTCGTCGGTATTTTTTTCCGGCGAGAGCGAACGCGCCGTCACGGACGGGCTCCCGGACGCGCCACACGACCACGTTGTGTGCGCGTCCTGCGCGGGATCCGTTCGGCGTTCGCGATCGCCGGGTTTCGAGGTGCGCGAAGGGGATGATCGCCTCTCGCACGCGCGCGCACGCACGCTCTCGCGTTTCGATCGAGAATTCGACGCGGTCCGTGCCGCGCCGGCGGAGGCGTTTTGCGTTTCCTCGCCGCGCCCTCGAGCACAAAGCGCTGTCCGACACGCGGAGGGGCGAGAGCTCCGCGCGCGGAACTTTTCTGAAAAGGAAAAAAAAAACTGTAAAACACC